CTAGAATTTGCTTGAGTGCAGGATCCTGCCCATAGGAGCAAACTGTGGTCCTAGCAGTTGCTGCAGATTATGTTGAATTGGACGGGACCCCAGAAGAAAGTCTGCACTTGTACATCTGCAAACAAGTACTCCATTTACACAGGAACTCTCCCAGCAGCAGCTGCAAACAAAGCTAAGGGGCATTCCTAATCTGTGGGCAGGCAAGCTCCCATAAGGGTGAGAGATTGTTTTCATTGCAAGCTGACGTTTGGCAGGCACATACCCCACCTAACCTGATGCAAAATCCAACTTCCCTAAAAAGAGTATTTTCTGAGTGAACTGTCTCTCTGTCTTTGGTCAGGGTGAATGGGAGGGTGGGGAGCATGGTTTTGAAGAGAACAGGTAGCACCGATCTTGAACTATGGGGCATGAATATTGTAGAGTTTCACTTTAGAAATGTGTCTGAAGATAATTTGTCAAAGCATCTCTGAAAAGACTAGGTCTACATATTTCAAACGTGCTTTATTTCCAATTCCTCAGAAAGATTTAGGTCACTGGATTTATAACACATGACAATTTTGAATCCCTCTGAACTTTATAGAATCTTGCTTTCAAGACCAGGAGACTTGTGAAATTTAGAAGCAAACTTACAGTTTCTACATTTTGAGAGACAGGGAAGAGAGTTTCCACAAAAGCCTGATTTTTTTACTTCTTGTCAACGTAGAAAAAAATGCATTTGGGTGTTTTTTTATGATGTGAAATTGGCCACGCAGGGGCTTAGAAATTGTTTTTTAAACAACTAAGATAAAGATGGAAAGGTTTGGGAGGCAATGGTTTTCTGCATTTTAGAAAGTCAAGTAACATCTTTGTAATATTGTAACTCAAAGCGATCACAACATCTTTACAGAGGAATTGTCCAAGTGGATTGCATCGTGGTCCAGCTAGCCTACTGTCCCAGCTCTGATGGCAGCCAGTACCAGTTGCTTCACAGGAAGGAGAAAGAAGCCTTATAGGGCACATCTTGATGAGTGGGAACATGCACTTTGTGGCTCCTCAAAGGCTTTTGAGCTGCCACAAAACACACATGGCACACGTGAAAAGGTTCTCCATGTTGCACATTTGCAGCACAGAGTCAAAATTAGGTACTGGAAAATCCTGATATCTAAAAAATCCTGACCAAAAAAATGCAGGGTGGCACATATGGTAGCAGCGTACAGTGCCCGAAACCAGAGCCTGGCTGCCCAGAGCCACGCTCCAGCTAAGCTGCCAGCCAGGTTTGGCGTGCCCAGATCACCACTGCTGCAGCCCTGGGAGGCCCCCAGGACCCCAGGTAAGGCTGCTAGGGCCAGCCCAGGTGCTAGCTTCAGCCTCCCCTACCCAACCTGGGGCAATTTGCCACGTGCCAGACCACACATGCAGGAGTATTCCCCAGGTACAAATAGCAGCGGCACAAAGTTGTACCGCTGCTATTTGTCCCACGGGAAACACATGTGCTGCACACATACCCATAGTGTAACAAAATGTCTGTAGTTTGTTTTTTAACCTTATCAGCTAATGATTGATCAGGATAACATGAGGCATGAGTGTAAATCTACTCTTACAATGTTTGTATCCTATGTATTAAGAATGTAAATGTTCTGAACCTGCCAAGCTGTCAGCCACAATGATCTCTTGTGACAATGAATTCCACAATTGTGCACTGAATTAAAGAGTATTTCCACTGATCAGTGTTAAATTTGCTGCCTTTCAATTTGGGGTCCCCCTTCTGGGTTTGGAAAAAGGAGGAATAAAGCATCTTGCTTATCTTCCTTTTCTGTTTCATCATTCTGTGTCCCTCCAGCTTTGCAGCCACTGGTTTAGAAATGGGTAGTTTGTATGGACCTGCCTTTTTTTTGGTTGAAGAGTAGTACCTCATGCTGATTTAGCAGTAGTGCCAACTGTTGCAAAACTATTGTGAGACTTGGGATTTCTAAGTCAAAATAACTCTGACTCTCAATCGAACCCTCAGATCTCTGGATTTTCCCAGCTGGTAACTTACCAGTGGTAAGTCTGTGGAGAGGAAGGGGCAGGGGGGAAATCAAGGCCCCCACAGTGAGGGAGGGAGTAGGGCAGGAGCAGAGGCTGGGATGAATGGGGCCCCGGGCCAGAACAGGATGCCCAGAGGTGCGGAGGAGGGGCGCGGCCCCTGCAGCAGCGGACACCCTCAGGGGAGGCACGGGGAGCACGCACCTCCTGCGAAGCAGAGGCAGGCTCAGGGCTCTGCGTCCTGCTGCTTTTGCCCCAGGAGCTCAGCCGTGCAATGCCAGTGTGCTTCCTGCTGCCGGGTGGGCAGGGGACATGCCACATGGTCAGTGCGCCCTGCACCCCCTGCCTGCCCAGCAGGTGGCAATGGTGTCATGCAGCTGAGTTCCTGGGGACTTCAAACTCCCCACACACACCCACAGCCCCCCACACCTTCACAAATAACCTGCGCCACACGCACACACTTCAAAAATAGCATCTCATGATTTACGTGCCAATCTCTTGCTTGTTTTAAGAGTTTGTCTCATAACTTTTGGCACAGTGGGGTTGGCAATATTGATTTAGCTTAATTGGTACTATTGTCTCATGTAGATAAGGCCCATGTTATGTCCTTTTCTTCTCCTCTCTACACTAAATAGTTCTTAGTTTTTCCTTTCCTCCTCACCAGGAAGACTTGCCAAGCACCCAATCATCATTTTTTCTCCAGAACCATTTCAAACCCTCAGGCTGCTCACACTGAGCTGCATTGCCCCACACAGTGGCATTTAGGCAATCTGCTTCTTTCAGCTTTGGTTCAAGAAAAACTCATAGAATCATAGGGCTGGAAGGGACGTCCATGGTCATTTGGCCCAATTTCCTGCAGGAAGGCTATGAATTATTGTTGACAAATGTTTATCCAGTTGCCTCTTGAAACCTCCAGTGAAGGGGATTCTACAACCTTACCCAGCAGTCTATTCCACTACCAAAGGCTAAAAACACATGACATGACAGATTTGAGCATCTTGTTTTGCAGCAAACCCCAAACTTTACGGAGGAAACTGCTCATGGTCCCACATTAAGTACCTGTGAAATATCCAAGTTAACACTTTGCCTCTGGCTAAATCCTGCTGTTTTTATGCAATGTTTTATGTTGTTTCCCATGTCCCACTCCCCACTGCCATTTGCCACCTAAGCTGGCCCTTCATTCCCTTCACTAATCAACTCCAGATTAAACCCCTTGTCTGTTTCCACCCCCACTGTTCAAAATATTTCTTATGACCTCTGCTGTTACTTCTACCCTTGGGGTGTGGGCAGCTATAAAAAAATATATTAACAAGGTGGAGGGATTTATTGTACATCATCTGCTCTGTAATAACTTTTTTGTCTGTCTGCTATACCCTGCAGTAAGTGGAAGAGCAGACACACACAACAGTTACCATAAGCAATTTGCAGAGTAACTCCTGCCACTTTTAAAATCAGTGCAATTGTTTCATCTGTCCATGACCTGGATAGCTTGAAAACATTCCTAGAGCACAAAAGGAAAACTGTACTATATTGTCTTTCTTGGGTCATGCTTTGTCCACTGGAAGCTAGCCAGCAAAGGAGCTCAATAAGGTCCCTGTGGGGTAGCAATGAGTACCCAGCAAGGCTATGCAGTGGACAGCCAATCCATATGGTGGGATGCTTTGACTGGTACAAACTAGGGATCACACACTTTGTAGCTTCTATAGGCCAAGTACGCAGCTTCTGGCATCCCACAGCTGCCCCCACAGGCACACCGCACCCCCCCCACCGCGTGTACTATGTTCCCCCAGCCCTCTACATCAGGGACTCATGATGATTGCCTGGCCCCTTTGTCCTCTTGCCAGTGGCTCTTTGTTTCCTGTGTCCCACT